CCAATAATTCCAAATTTGGGACAAACTGTCAAAGGCACCTAACAGTGGGGCGTGTCAATAGAGAGTTCAAAGAACTGGTACATGTCTTATAATGATATAAGAAATGAAAAATAGTAATTATGATTTCGCCATTACTTTATCTTAAAGAACAGATATTAGCTAATGTTTGGTGGCCTAATATGTTAATTCAGAGATTATAGGTGTTCCCAGATTAAAATTGTGCAACTTCCTTGTCTCATTCTCACAATTTTAGGAGTGAAGAGTTGTGCAGGAATAGACATTTATTTTGCACCTTGTTTATAAAGTTAAATGTTAACTTGTGTATAGGTAGCATGAAATAAGCTTGAAATACTTTTGAATTCTATCCTGGCTTCTGACTTCTTGCATCTGACAAATAAATTCCCAAATTCTTAAAGCTACATTAGCAAAACTCATACTTCTATCATACTGAAAATGTGAAATTTAATGGAAGCAGCTGCTCAAGCTTGCTGTGCTACCATCATCACATTCTGATTGTACAGAACATGCATTACTTGGAATAAAAAATGATTTTACATGTTCGATTTTCAACCTTATCATATTCAATATGCCCGAGTATACCTTGGATGAATTTAAAGTTTTAAGAGGAGTAAAAGAAGGTGAATTGTTACACAAATAAATAAGATGTCATTAAACTTGAATTATCTGCAGCAACTTCAAAATTATACATAATATAATCTATAAATGTAAAATTACGTTGTAGGTGTGATTTCAACACCAGCAAAGAAGCATTAATCAAAACTTCCAAAATAGTACCGAATGTTTAAAATCCATACATAAACAGGAACTTCTGAAGACGTCACTTGGTTGTCAATGGCAACACTCTCAATATGGCGCCATTTCGCAAGGGTAATAGACCCGTCATTAGGCGGTTATATGATTACGTAATCGGGTGGGGAATCGTAAAGAAACTAACTGCAGCTTTAGATCCTAAAGTCCAAAGGTAATAGAAAGAGGAGATTACATTTTCGAGCGACAATTGGTTGTTGTTTCTGTCAATCAAATCATCTGTTTCAAGGAGCTAAGTGAACATTAAACGGATTGGTGAATTTATGTTGTCAATCAACGAGCAGCGTAGCCGGCCCTCTAACCATCGTGATTGGCTTTTTCTCTTGACATTTTTTTTTGCTTCTGTTAACACTTTTATCTGTGTGGATTCTGACTGGTCGTTAAGCTGTCAGTCGCTGTGAGGTTTGTGGTTAAGAAATAATACTTACTTTTTGAGTGGGCAAACATGCTGTCATTCATCTTAATCTTTAAAAATGATTGGACAGAGCTACACAGAAGGCAGGAAACCTTGTGGTAGCAGTCGAATGCCGCTGTTTAGGCTTAAGACCGGCATTGAGGCAAGGCCTCCTATGAAAGTAGTCGTGGGTGCTGGAGGGTGATTGCTGGACAAGGAAGGTATACAGATGAAATGATTGATTTCTACGACGGGAAGTTGATGGTGATAGCTTAAACGGGGGGAAAATAAAGGGGAGGAGTGCTAGAAAATAAAATAAGGGATTGCATACGGGGGGGGGGAAGGTGAAATCTGGGGAGAAAAGAGGTGGGGGTGACCCAAAGAGGCGGCCTGCAATATATAAAGGAGGGGGAATTGAGAGGCGTTGACGGGGATGGTTCAGAAGATGGAGGTAAAAATACGAGAGGAAGAGCCAGGTAAAGGAGGGGGCTGGGAGGAACAGGGCTGAATATTAAGTATGAATCGAAGAAAGGCGACTGCGGGGTTCAGATGCAGGCTGGGCAGAAACGAGGTGGGGTTTAACCAGATGAGGCTTGTGGAAGGAGGGTCGGGAGGGAAGAAGGTAAATGAGGGCTCTGGAAAGATGGGGTAATATATGGAATTTAAAGGGCACTAGGTAGACTGGGCGAGAATAAAATATGGGGAAAGTTAGACAGGATATGAGGAGGTAAAAAGTTAGATTGAGAAAGTGAGGGTTGGAGAACTGCTTTTCCCTTCTTGTAAGAGAAATCCAATAAGGGAATTTAGGATAGGGGGATTTGCTGAAAAACAAAATGGGGGTGGGTGGGTTTCTGAGTGGGTGAGGCACAATAGAACATAAGAAACGGAATGAGGTTGATTCTACAGAAGTAGAAATGGAGTAGAACCAAAGTGGAGGAAATGCGAGCCTAGCAAAAGTAATTGGGTGGGGAATTGTTTCTAGAATAGAAGCAGTTTGAAATGTAATTGTATTCTCATGCCTGTTTATAGTAAATGGATGTATTGCAGGCCAAGAGCTGCTCTGTTTAATTAAAAGAACATTTGCATGATATTATTCTGTGACTTAATAATTAGCTTGTGGGAGTGAGCAATCCTGACCTATTTTTTCAGAGTTCTTATATTTGGAATCCAAGGCTTTTTGGGATACGAAAGTAGGAAGGTAGATAAAAAAGAGAAATGTAGGATTAATTATAAAATCTTAAGAGAATATATACACCAGATCACATCATGGGTTAATTAATTCAGGAAAAATTCTAACCTGTTGATCTCTTGTTTAGAATCTCATTAAATGGGTTGCACTCCTTACTGCACAGGAAAAGAATGCTTTCGCATCTAGATAATGTTAACTTTTGTATATAACATTATAAAGAGATATTATTTTTAAAAATGACAGCTAAAGTAAAAAGCTTTACTTTTGTTGGAGTTATATTTCTTCATGGTTCTGTGTACTGTAAATAGGACAAAGTTCAAACTCTTGTGTGAAAAGATTTATGGTAGAATTCTCTAGGATCTCTTGTATGTCATTAGCTTGTATTTTGAAGAGTTTAAATCTTTAAATTGAGACTGTGATGAGAGTCCAGAAAATCTTAGCGGTTGTGAAAGTAGGATTAATGAGGGAACATAAGAAAGTGGCTGGTGGAAATTTTGGCTCTCATGTCTTTCAAAACAACAAGTACTACTTAGAAATCATGCGTCTCTGATGAAAATAGAAAAAGATGCTGAAATATGATAGTAGAAGGAAGCATAGATTGGATTAGTCTTGAGTATATGGTTGCTGTTTTTAATAGAGCAAGGTACGATTTTTGGAATTCTTGTATTCTGTTTAATCTGTAGCGGGAGCAGATGAAGCAATAGTTGTGATATAGATTTTTAAGAACAATTTTAAGTTAATTGAAGGAAAAAGTGTATTAAAAAGCTCAAGAAATGAAAGCCAAAACTTCCTCTCACGGCTTTATATTTAATTCTAAAAATTTGAGCTACTGGTAGCAATGTTTTCTGATAATATGTGTAGAATTATTGTGGTGGGATATTGACCTTCCCTATCCTCATGTTTCTATTTTTTATCAGAAAATGCTTTTATATGTTTTTAATGTTTAATTCATTTTGATAGATGCATTTTAATGGCAATTTAATATTGGATGTACAGAAATTTTATTGCTTGAAGTTTGCTGTACACTTATATGTGAAAGTATAAGGAAAATATTTGATTGTGAATGCCACTTTATCCATAATTTTCACTGGATAGATAATTGAGAGGGAAATGAAAGAAGCTCTATTGTTTCCAAATAAGTTCAAAAATTTAAATGAATCTGCCAAATACTGACCTGCCAGCAGTTATATCTCCTCTTCCAAGCCGGAAGGCAATGCACATGCTTTCTATAAACATTGATAGATTGACAATCAGAATGTTCCCCAATCAGGAATCTGGGAAAAAGTGGGCAAGAGGTCACTGGGAACACCTGTAGCTATTAGTAATGTAAGGGTGTAGAATCACAAGCCCTGGTGGTTCCTGGAGTAGGGAAAAGAGTTAAAAGAATCTGAATAGCTAAAGCAAGGATCCATCCATATATTAGAAGTCATGTCCTTTATTAAATCCAGTAGTTTCTTCAGTAGGCATGAAGTTGTAGGCATGACCTGGGAGAAATAGTTGCACACATAGCTCTTGTGCTGATAAACTGCAACATCTCTTAATACTGAAAGTGAATTTGAAGTCCTTTTAAATTACTCAGAAATTTATGCTGAATGAAGGTATAATCAGCAAGTTTAAACATCACCCACAGTAAACTCTCAATGGTGAGAGAATAAAAGGAGGCAAACACCAGTATTCTTTGGAGTGTTAATATTTGGCTTTTGCTGGGTAATCAGATGTCAGAAACCAAGTTGATAGTTCCTTGAACCATTTTTTCCCCCTCAGTCATGTCTGATTCTCAGAGACTACCTGGACAAGTCCTTATAGTTTTCTTGGCAAAGTTTCCCAGAAGTGGTTTGCCATTGCCTCTTTTCTAGGTCTAAGAGAAAATGACTATCCCAAGGTCATCCAGTTCCTTTTGTACCTAAGGCAGGACTAGAACTCATGATCTCCTGGTTCTAGCTTGATGCCTTAACTACTACACCAAATTGATTCCCCCTTGAGCTGTAGGATAATGCTAAATTAAAGTTTACTTGGCCTGTTGTGTCATTTTTTTTAAATTAAGCCTGCATAAAATAAAAAGAAGTGTTGAACTGGTTTAAAATATGGTGCCTTTTAATGCATCTGCTTGATTTTTTGGGTGTGTTTCAGTTTCTGATGAAACTTGCAGCAAGCAGCAGAAGAGTCTTCCCTATTCTGGAACCCTGTACTCTTTAACTGCTCCTTCAGGAAGCTTTTTAGAGTGAAAAGAAGAAAGAGGGGGAAGATCAAACTTGCAGCTCTTGAAGACTTGTTCCATCTTGCAGTTGCTGTGGGAAAATAGAAGATTCAAGGAAGTTGTTGTGTGGGTTCATTAAGACAGTAAGTCACATGAGTTTATATGCTTCATTTTGTTATAAAACAATTTTGTATTCTGAATAAGCTATTCCATTAAAAAATAATGAGAATTTTTTAATTCCTGAAGATTTCTCAAATTTATTCATAATCTGAATGCATTTAGATTTTCCTTTAAAATGGAATATGAGCATTTGTTGTATATTTGTTCTATAATAGTATAGAGATATTTGAATATTATTAAACCTATTCTACATATACTTTTTCTTTCTAGAAATGCTTTTTCTGAAGAAATATTTCACTGAAGGACTCATTCAGTTCACCATTTTTCTCAGCTTGATCGGAGTGAGGGTGGATGTAGATACTTATCTAAATTCACATTTCCCTCCCTTGCGGGAGATTTTTCTGGGCCAGAGCTCTGCTTACACTCAAACACAGTTTCACAACCTGCGGAACACCCTAGATGGATATGTTATACATCCCAAAAGTGTAGATCTGGACTACTATTTTACAGCTCGACGGCTTCTCAACCAAGTGAGGGCCTTGGACAGGTTTCAGGTGCCCACCACTGAAGTCAGTGCTTGGCTGGTACATCGAGATCCTGAAGGTTCTGTCTCTGGTGCTCAGCCCAATACAGGAATTTCTCTTGAGAATGGAAGTGGCTTGCAAAATGGAACCGCTTCAGACAATGTAGTCAGAGAAAATGCAATGGAACAAGCATATAGTGAAGAGTTGGAAGACCTAGGTGCAGTGGCTCCTCCAATAAATGGTGATCTAACTAAAGAGGTATGTATAGCAATATTCTATGGAATGAAGTAATAGAAAATAATTGTTTGAGGATCTCTATAACTTTTATTAATAAATATACTGATGGCAATATTTTAACATTTCTTTGATAAGACTGAACCAGAACAGTATTAGTAATCTATTTTGATACATGGTGTATAATTCAAAAGTCAGACCTCATAAACAATTTATTACATAAAATACTTTAAACGTTGCTATTTTCTTCTAAACCAGTGCTTCCCAAACCTTTTCCTTCATTACCCAAAACTGTTTATTAGAAAATTGAACTTTGAGGACAGGTCATAAGTACCTTTGTTCAGCATCATCATAACTTTGAATGGTTACTGAATGAATGATTGTGCCTCAAGGACTATCTGTATTAACAACATAATTCAATGATCTTTATGTTACTTTAGCAAATTACCATTGGTAATTTCATTGATTTTCACCTTAATAGGAATACTTTGGGAGATTTTTGACTATATTTTGGTACACACAATCTTTTGTAATGGGAAATGGGTTCAGGCAAAAGAAAAATTCAAAGAAAAACTATTTTTATCCAATTTGAGATAACTTACATGGGTTTTACATTTTCTTATTCATGACAAATGACCTTTGAAAAATCCTAAATATCATAACATCTTATTTTTGGAGAAAGGGATAATGAAACATATTGCAATAAGCCTATGGGGTATCATTTTTGGTACACCTTGGATATATTAAATTAGTTTTTTTAACTGTTTTTTAAGTGGGAGGCATCTCAATAACACCCCCAGCTTAATTTGTAGTAATAGATAATAATTTCATTGCATGTATTAAGTTGGTGATGATTTAATCAATTTTGAATTCTTTCCAAGGAATTTTTCTAATATGTATTTAAGAAAGCGAGTGCTTATAGTCTTATTAAGCAATAAAAACTATCCCTTGCAGTCTTCTCTTTTTTTCTCTTTCTGCTGTCCCATGTGATTTACTTTATAAGGGTCTGTTCTGGTTTGCTTTGTTTGTATTGTACTTGTGTTTTATTTCGTGATGAGTTCAGTTATTTGCATGGATGCTGAAGTCTCTCCCAAACACATGGTGATATAGGACTACTTCCAGACCATCCTTAATCCCTGATAGCTTATGTTGCAAGTGGACTGTGTTACTAGAGCTGGTATCCAGGCTTGGAGGGGGGCGGTGTGTTGAAGCAGCTGTTGTGACTGTCTTCCTCCCTTGTCATGTTGCCTCATCTCTTTCATGGGCAAATATAGAGTAAAGATTTCAGAGGTTTTGCCCTTGAGAATATTAAAGTAACATATAAAAGTGAAATTTGCTTTGCATGGAAGGCTTTCCGTTGAAGTAAAAGTAAGTCACTAGCAAGCTGAAAGAATAATTTTGTTATGAAAATATAAATACTATTTTTTAGAACAAAAAATGAAGCCACTTTTGTGGAGGTTTCAACCCTCATGTCTTAAAAGGACTTATTTCTAAAATGGCTATAACAAATGAATAAAATTGAAATGTTAAAAATGAGATAACCCTTCCCAACTACAATTATGAGGCTGACTAATATGAAGAGTTGTCTAGACTGAAGGTCATTAAAATAGAGAAATGTTGGGTTCCATTGTGGTTGTAAGCCAAGAACTATCTGTATTGGAGGGTTTTTTTAAACAGATTTGAAACCAAGATATTTAATAGTCCTTGGCTATGAATCTGAAAATCAGTACTGTTTGCCATTCTAAATACACAGGGTCTGCAAATAAAAGGAGTAAATGAATTTATTAAAGCTCATCTGATTTAGATTTTCATCAAACTCTGCTTGCTATGACATGTCTAATATTTGATTTAACAAACCTGCTTAGGAGCTCCTCCTCTGGAATGGTGCTGCCATAAATAACGTATCTTTCCATGGTTTATTTTGAAGTTTCCATATCACTGCAATGGCTTTTTATGATTAATACAAACCAGAGAACGAATCTGTGGTTCATTTTGATATATGAGACAAGAAAAAAGTATGCTATACTTTTATATCCAAGTATTTTGGTCCTTGCTGGTCCTTTCATTTTCTTAAACTACTCATTCTTTTACGGCAGTTATGTACAGGCACTGTGACTTTTCACATTACCGAAGCATTTGAGCATTTGATCCTTAACCTTATGCAGTATAATATATATTATAGGGAACAACTTGAAAGTGATTTTCCTTAAAATAAATTCAGGATGAACTTGAGATCTATATAGCTGTTAAGAATTTCTGTAATAAATGTATTTAATATTCAATGTATGCTGCCATAAGAGTCCTTTTTGTTTGCTGACCAGCAAAAGGAATTAATTTTATGTGCTGTCTGTATTGAAATCTAGGTACGGGGAACACAGATCTATAGGGCAATGATATGGGCATAATATTTAGATTCAATGAGGCAATATATTGCTTTCTTTTCAGGAGTGCAGAAGACTAAAAAATACATGTACTTAGGAGTATAAATAGATAATTTAAAAAATTATGAGATGGAAGATTGGACTCAGTTCAATCTTAATCAGGAATTCCGTGAACATACAGAGGACAAAAGAAGAAAATATAATATGGAATTCAAGGTAGATGACAATACATTTATTCTTGAGTTCTGCCTGTTTTGTGTATACAGACTACATATAAATGAGCAAAAATGAGGAAATAAGGTATCAAAAGCTTTCTAAAATATATACATCTTCAACTGGACACTTTCCTGATGGTTTTTGGACTGACATTTCAAGGCTAGGATTAAAATGGTAAAGACTTGCCACATTTAAATTTTTTTAAATATGTATTTATATCTTTGTAATATACCCTAACAGAATCTGGGAGTACAGTATATAAAATGAACAGAATGTGCTAGTCCTGAACATAATTAGTTTTTATATAATCTTTGTTAATTATTTTAACTAATATTTTCCACACGTTTCAAGATTATTACTAAAATTATTACTATTGTGTAATAGATTGGCAATTTGCCAATATATGCAATTTTTTTTCAATCCAGTGAACAAGATATATTTTTTAAAGTAGAGGTGAAATGAGTGCTATGGATTATCCTCCCAACAAAACTTAGTGGTGGGGCATGAATTCTTGAACTTTTAAAATACAATTGGCCATAGTCCCAGAAATCCATCTTTTTTCCTGATCATTGGAGTATCATTGAATTTCAGTGACATCACTGAAAATTTTGCAGTGTCCTGCAATATTTGATACCTGAAACACAGAAACTTTATTTACATAGTTAACACCCCCCCAAAAAAACCCCAACACCCCTGAATTTCCTGTAGAACCTAGATGAACTGACCCTCTTTTCTTTGGGGTAATTTACATCATCAGCCTCATGGCCTAGGTGTGAAATGTGGGCCTCAAAGCAATGTGAAATGCATCAAGGTTTTTAATAAGCTCTGTCATTAAATTAATGCTATAGGAATTAGATGTGATTGAATTTGTTTTTATTTATTCAATTTGTATTCCACTGTAATCTCACAACTTGTGGAAGCTTTTAAAATAGTTGGGTACTCCTTTAGATAAACAAGTTCAGGTATTCACTTAACTTTGAAATTGAATTTGTAGCTTGTCTAAAGTTCACAGGTTTTTATTACTATAGTTCATTTAGTTCTAAAAGAATGTATTGTGTGAATTTATCCATTTATGACTTTTTCAACAAACCATGCCATAGCATATTGGGTAAACCTAACTCAATTTCATTGACAATTGTGAGGGGGGATGCAGGATATCTCTATAATCAATAAACTATTGTTATAAGAACAATGGAATAGAGCTATGCTGTTCCTACTGGAGGATATTAATCTACTGTGTGACTTTAGACTTTCTCTTGCTTCCTCTTAAAATGTCAGTTTCTGTAATGGGGAAAGTTACCCTTTCACGAGTATTGAATTTCTTTCTATATAGAACATTCTTACTATAGAGATTTATTTATTTATTTATTTATTTAACATGGATTTATATGCCGCCCTTCTCCCTATAGGACTCAGGGCGGCTTACAGCATATTAAAACACATAAAACATCATCCCCCCCATAAAAACCTGTTAAAAACCAAATATTTTTTTCGCTGTATAATTAATTAAAATTTAAATTAAAATTGTCCCTATTTAAAAATTCTCCCTAGGCCAGACCCGCTTGTTGAAAAAGCCATGTCTTGAGGGCGCAGCGAAAAGGTAGGAGGTCCGGAATCGTCCGGATCTCGGGGGGTAGTTCGTTCCAGAGGGTGGGGGCACCCACAGAGAAGGCCCTCCCCCTGGNGGATGCTCCCCACAGGGAGCCCCATGTATAGAGCATTACAGTAGTCCAGGCGGGAGGTGACGAGAGCCTGAGTGACTGTGCGCAGAGCGTCCCGGTCCAGAAAAGGGCGCAACTGGTGGATCAGGCGAACCTGATAAAACGCCCCCCTGGTCACGGCCGACACATGATCTTCCAGTGTCAGCCGTGGATCCAGGAGGACTGCAGTGGTTAAACTGCAGTGGACAGGGCTTCTGGATAAAAGAACCCATCCCAATATAGATCTGAGCTTTAGGACCTTGATCACTGTTGTATTATTACAAAGTACTAGGAATGAATGCTGGGATTATTTTGGGGTGAGTCTAAGATGTTGTTTTCCTTTCCCCCCCCCTCAAATTCATACAGCTTCCAAATGCATTTTAATTTGTGTATTTTAAACTCTCATGTTTAATATATTCTCTTTACTATTGGGATGTACTCAGTTGAGGATTTTAAGTGCTTAGACTGGACAGAAAGGAATTCATTCTAATCCAGATATGACAGGTAAGCATTATTCAGGCCTCAGAACTTTTTTTCCCCTTACAGTTTCCAAGGAAAAGTCTCTTTCCTACAATAGCCACATAGCTATTTCTGCCTGAAGACATTGCTAGATAGCATGGTTTATTGAATTTGGGAGTTTATGTCATTTAATTGCTTCATTTCTGATTGCTATTTGAAAATAGAGAAAGTTAATTTCTTATTGAAAGTTGAATGTTAATTTCTGCAC